GGGTTTGAATCCAGCCCAGGCCTGCCAAACAACAATGACAACTACAACCCCCCCTCCCCCAAATAGCTGGGTATTGTGGTGGGTGCCTGTAGTCTCAGCTACTCGGGAGGCTGAGGCAAGAGAATTGCTTAAGCCAGGAGTTAGAGGTTTCTGTGAGCTGTGATGCCATAGCATTCTACCCAGGGCGACAGCTTGAGGCTCTGTCTTAAAAAAAAAAAAAGAGAGAGAGAGAGAGAGAACATATACATGATATACAGTATATAATTCCTAGATCATTATCAAGAATAATAGCAGGGCTCAAAAAATATAGCTATTTAAGAAAAAAAGAAAAAAGCCCAATCCCTTCAAATAAAAAATTGTGACTGTATCTCTAGTCTAAAAAAGAAGACCAAAGAAACTAAATCATCCTGGCCAGAGGTCTGTAAGGGTTATATATGTGTAAATTACATGTCAAGTACAACTCTCACTTAGAAACACATTTTCTTCTCATTTCCTAGTAGTGATGGACCCAGAAAAGGCCCAAGACAAGGGAAGTTGTTCTCCAATAGAATAGCCTTTTCAATGATTTCTTAAGGCAGTATGTTGGTAGGTCTGCTGATCAGACCATGATGAAAACACTTCATGGGTAGCTGAGAACAAAAGGGTCAGCCAGCTCAGTATGCAACTGAGCCATCAACGATCAAAACAAGAGACCCATAAAAAGGGTGTCCAAGGGGGGCATCAATTTAGCTGCTTCAGATGTTAAAATCTGGCTAAGTAAGCATTCCCTAGCAAAGAAGATCATGAACATCAAATGCCCAAGCAGGAGCCCCAAAGAGAAGAGGAGGAGGGGAAAAGGGAGGAGTTAGATAAGAGGCCCAGGCAGACAGTCCTAAATACTCTCTATTGTAATGTGGACATCCTGTAAGGGCAACTTTACTCCCAGAGCATCCAATCAAACTAGCTGGAAGTTCCAGGGAGGGCATCCTCCAGGGAAGGTGTAAGAATGCCCTGGTATGGTTTTAAGGGGCCACCCAGAGAAGCAGCAGCCAGATAAATAATTCTTCAATTCTTTGTTCTCTTCTTTTGAACAAAGGCCCCATCACTGTCACCTGCAACCTGATACAAGAGCCACAGGTGAGAGGCTAGCTAAGGAACTTAAAATGAGAGATGGAGGTTTCTCATTTCCCAATTATCTTTGTTCTTCAAACTCACAGAATAACGTGAAGGCTTCTCATTTCCATTACCTTTGTGTACCAATCTCATAAACCATCAGAGATGTTTCATCCTTCAAAATCTCTGTCCACCAATATCATCACTGTTGCTCAGGCAGGGGTCTGTATCACCCCAGCCAATCTTTCAAGGATGGGGAGGTGGCTGGTTTCCTTTATTTGGCTGATCAAATCTCTTGGCCTGGGCCAAAAAAAGGCTCTTCTCAAACCTAACACTGCTCAGCAGTTAGGTTTTATTGTGCATTACTAAAATGCCTCTACTTCCTAATTTTGGACCCATCTCTACACCCATCTTAGGTAGGAGGAAACTCCATTCTCTTTAGGTCTGGCCCAAGCAGGAAATGAGAGCCACCTTTACACACACTCAGCTCTGGAGTAACAGTGCTACCTGGGTGCAGGGATGGCTCTGACTCTGCATCCACCTTAGCAGTCCCCAACTTCTGGGCCTTTCACCTTGCGGCCATCCCTACACACCTTTCCCCACACCTCTTTTGAAAACTACCCCTCCCCCTGCACCATTCTTGCTGCAAACATTACAATGAGTGAATGATAAAGAGTTCAACCCAGTTTTGAAATACGTCTACAAACGGAAAAGGTGTTTAAGATCGAACATTTTAAAACAAGAAAAAAATGGGAAGAAAAAAGGTGTGAGGAACAAGCGGACAGGCCAGGCAGCGCCTGCCCTGGTAGAAGACGCTGGTGCTGCTCCGGTCACACTCAGAGCGCCCCAGACATCATCCTGCCTGGCTCCACAGGTGACCCCTGGCCGAGAGACTGGCTTCCCCAAACAAGTGCAACCCCTGAGAACAGGCCTTTCCCAGTTTATCACCGGCCCTCCTTCGGAACTCGAGAGCGCAGGGGACCGGGGCGGCCATCCCAAGGGTCTCGACTCTTTTTCCTCCCCTTGGCACGCGAGCCCCCCGACCTCCTCCCTCGGGCAAAACCGCGCGCAGAGCCGCGGAGCCCAGCGGCGCGGGGCGCGGGGCGCTGGGCTGGGGAGAGAGGCCGCCGCCGACGGCCCGGAGGTCGGGTCTCGGCGCTGCAGCGCCGCAGCTAGGCGACTCCGCCCCTCCGGCCGGGGTTCGAAGCGGCACGGCCGGAGAAGAGGAAGGAAGACGAAAAGGAACTTCTGCCCACAGTTTCTGTCAGTGGGCGGGTCAGGCGCCGCGCAGGGGCGGCTGCAGAAACCTGAGACCCCGAGGCCGGGGCTCCGCGCCCGCGCGGGGGCCGCAGCGGCGACTTCCCGGGAGGAGGAGACCTTCCTCGAAGCCAGCCCTGCGCGGGCTCCGGGGCTCCGGCCGCCGTCCAGCCGCCCGGCGCGTCGGCTCCCGGGGACCTCGCTTACCATCTGCGCCACTTTCAGCAGGGCTGCGTGGGTGCGGGGGTACGCGGAGTCCAGCAGCCCCTCCGAGGGGCTCGCGCC